AATGTATAGATAGAAGAAAGGGGAAGAGAGAGAAAGAAACTGAGAGAGCTTGAGAAAGAGAAAGGAAAGGAAGGGATATCAGAATCTGCAGCTTTTATCTCTGGGAACTTTGATCAAATAGGAGCTGATTCACAATTTTTATAAATAGAAGTTCCATGAATAGATTTTAAAATGCTTCTTCTGTTTGAAACTAGAATATGGTATTTTGGCAATGCAGATGATCAAAATTATGCCAACATGTATGAACATACTATATTATTTGAACAACCAAATAGACTATAAATATATCCAAGCAAAATCAGTAAAAATTTAGTGAATTTTCTAAGTGTTCACTATGTTGTAGTATAATTTCTGTTTTTCCCCTAATTTGGATTTGGCCTTTTCCTAAATTTTCTATTTACCATATGTGTATATACATGTACATATATGTAAATAGAAATATGTGTGCCTATTATATATGCATATATAATAGAATAAAATATTTTATAAATAGTGGACATATTCTAATCACTATATATAGCAGAGAGGATAAATATTTTTTTAAGAGTTGGTTCTTCATAAACATAAATACAACTAAATTTAGTGTAGATTGTATTTAAAAAATGTCAATCATAGTTGTATGGTCATTAACATTACAAGACCTCAAACTGATTGCAATGCATTAATACTCTGTAAAGGTTCATCAGTTATCTGTAGTTCATTTACACTTCTAATGTTTACATAATCTTAACAAGTAACCTAGATTGAATATGGCAATAAATATTGGTCTAATGCTTTTGAATGGGAATAAATAGGTACACCCTAATAGATTTTATATATAATGAAAATGATGACAGTCTATAATATTGCATGCTGAAGCTTCAACAAAAGTTGAGATATTGACTGACTTTTAAATTGATCATTTTCAACTAATTGAGGACTTTCCCTGACCAATATACTTTATTGATTTTTTTTAAATAAGCAGGAAAATAGTGATAAAATTTCATGAAGCAACTATTCTCTAACCACGATGCAAGGCAACTAAATTGTGAAAAGGCTAATTTTGAACAAGTGATCAATAAGTATAATAGAAAAAATATCAACAGAAAGAAGGGAAAAATACCAAATGTAATTTTTTTAAGAACTTTAGTTTTATGGGTAGAAATCTCAATGGAACAATGGAGTGGCGAATAGTAATTTAAATATATACATTGCTAAGCTTTATAGAGGACCAGGTTTTTGGCTCAAAAACCTGAAATAAAAAGTCTTATGAGCTTTTTAAAGAGTTGAGTTCAATTCATATTCTCAAGCTGAACTTTCTCTACATTATTTATCTACACTTTCTATAAAGTAGAATTAATAAGATTTACACAGTGGGATGATTGGGATATTAAATAATATGAGCAACATAAAATAGCTTCTGAATCAATGTTATTTCAATATCTATAATCCTTTTGTAGTTGGATCATTTTGCTCTCATTTTATTCATTTATTCCTATGGGGAAATTGAGATGTAATCCAATTCTATGTTTTCTGAACATAAAATGCAAGTAAAATAGTTTCTGCTGGATATCTTCCTTTTGCTTTTCTCTCATGACTGCTTGAACCAGGGAAAGTAATTTGACCATCTCAAATCAGACCCTATAGGACTGCACCAGACCAGGTTATGGAGAGTCTTATTCATTCCTGCACAACAGGACCCAAAGTCATGGGAAAGGTCAGGATTTGTCAGTGGTAAAGGAGGAGATCACAGAGTCAAAATGACTATATCTTGGGGAAGTTGTAGAGACATCCCCAGCTGTTGGAGATGGCTTTTATGTGGGTAAGCTGGTTTTCTTTGAAGGGTCTATATGGGGTTTACAACTGGAGCTTCTTCTACAATCACCAAGATGAAAAGAAGAGTATTTGTCCTCCTTAGAACATAAGGTTTAACATATCTCTTCATTCCTTCTACCTATTTTTTCTATACCATAAATTAAATGTTTAAAGAATTGGAAAAAATAGTGACTAAAACAAATTGGTAACTGTGACATACAGGCTGTGGTTTGTGTTGGTATGTGTGTGAACCATTAGGTGTATTCTATGTGTAATCTATATGTTTCTATATCTATAAAGTTACACAATCTTACATGTTAGAACAACTGCAAATTGAAGTACTCAACATCCACACAAACTTTTAGCTTACAGCCCATATACAGGGTACATTTGCTTTCTCCTTTCTACCTTTTTTTCCTACTGGATAAGCTTCTCTAACTTTAAGATTTAGCTCAACATAATCTCCCACAATAAGCTCATCTTATTAATTCCAAATTTTACTCTCTGGAATAATAGGTTCTCAAACATATTTGATGAAAGGATAATTATATAGTTAAACGTAAAATGGTGATGAATGACAGAAGACAGAGATATACACACAAATCTTATTTCTTTGATCATATATTATTTACTAACCTAGAGAAAAAAGTGCCTACAATAAAGAAATAGTGCCCTGGAGACTACATAATTATAAAAATCAGTTTAAATTTACAACCTGTCAAAATTCACAAAATTGTTATGAAATTTTTCAATAAATCTTGTCTACGTAGAAAAGGTAAAAATAAAATAAATACTAGACAATTTTTATATAGCACTGTTAGTTAGCTTTTAATTGCTGTAACAAATACATGAGAAAATAAACGTAAAGAACAAAAATTTATTCTGGCTTACAATTTCTGATGTTTTAATCCATGGTTGACCCAGCTGCTTTGGGACCTGAGGTTGGGCAGAATATCATAGCAGCAGGAACATACTGTGAATACGGCTGCTTACCTCCTAGTAGCCAGGAAGCAAAAAAAAAAAAAAAAAAAAAAAAAAGAGAGAGAAAGTGCTGAGGTTCAAATATCCCCTTCAAGGGCACACACCAAGTGACCTAACTCCCTTCCAGTATAACTTACCTCCTAAATCTTCTATCATCTTCCAGTAGTGTCATAGGCTGGCACCACGCCTTAGCACATGGGCCTTTAGGTGACATTTAAGATACGAGCACCTTGCCTTTTGCATAGCACATTATGCTTTATTATGAAACAAACAAACAAAAATAATGTTTTATGAATGGATAACATTTCTCTGACCAATGATCATCTTAGTTGACCTCACATCTCATTGTAGCATGTCTCACTGTGTGGAGGTCAGAGAGCATAGAAATTGTGGGGAGGGATAAATTCATTAGGAAGAATGAAAGAGACCGAAATTAAGTAAAAATTTCAGGAAGTGATAAATTCCTGGCAAACCAGGAAGAATTGGAAACCTCAAATAATTATTAGCTGGAGAAAAGCACAAAGCCAGAGGATTAAGGAGAGGGATTGCTGTGCTGGAAGGGAAAATCAGAGGGATCTTAGAGCCTGGAAAGTGCAGACAGGGAGGGAAGATTTCTTGGGTATAGATTTGGGAGATCCTGAGGGTGATTGAGAAAAGAACTGAAGTGCTTCCTGGCCTTATGAATTCACTTACTGATTAGACAATTTAGATAATGATTACAATAAAGATCCAAAGTAGTTAAAATTGTTTTTAAAATTTCTTCTATCATTGCTTTTGCTCTTCTGGTTGAAAGGAAGCTTTATTGATCAAATAAAAATACATATAAATCTCATCAAATTTTATAAACACTGATTTATTTTTTGGTCTTCTATTGTTTCAGTGCAATTCCAAGATCAATCAAGATCACCAGTTTTAATGAGCACTAGATTTATGTAGGTTTCAGATTGCATTGAAGATATCGTTCTGTGTAATGATTAAGAGGACAGGCTGGAGAGCCAGAAAGCTTAGCCTCAAAGCATAGCTCTGTTAATAGTAATCCTGAACAATTTACTTAATACCCTGTGCTTCTTTAATAAAATAAAAGTAAATATAGCTCATATTGCTCATAGACTTATTATACATAAGTATTATAAAGTAACTATCATGATCGTTATCATAAGTCATTTATTCATTTCTTTTACAAACACACTGAGTGGCTTTTCTGTGCCAAGTCCTGAGGATAGGCTGAATAAATTTAAAAGCTTAAAACTTTAAGGGTATCAGTAAAACATCAGGCCATAGATTTAGTCAAGAAAGACAGTATTAGAAGTTGAACTGATATAGACCTACTTGGCACATGCATAGAACTTGGACAACCTAAGTGATCAAATTATCTTAATTCCCAATTGATTTCCTCCAACAAGAGTTTTTCAGTTATAGAGTGGCTTTTGATGAGTCACTTTACTGTGCTGTCATGGAAAAGAGGTCTATAAAATGCAAATACTAGACATGTACAAAGCAGAACTGACATTAAGTTATAGAAACTGAAGGACCTGCACTGGGTTCTCAGATAGAATGAAGGCTCTCTAGCCTTACAATGAGTTGGCCTTTTGAGTTTGTATGTATGCAAGTCAAACATTTTATTGTAGCTAAGAAATATTTTCAAGTATATGATCATTTAATATTATGATGATTCATTTTTGGAAAGGTATTATGTAGCACAGAAATCAGTAAAGGGCAGTTTTCCAATATCTTTCATCATTATCTATTTTTTCTAGTGTGGATATAAAGAAGTTGTAACAACCATTTACACCAAGTGATAATTGGAGCATAATGTGAGCATGAGAACCATAGGTGCATTATTGTGCAGAAACTACATGTGATTATAGTTTAATACTAGATATAAAATAGCTGAAGGGGAAGATTAAGATTCAGTAAGATAGTTTATTGATCAAATGAAAAGTATTACTTAAAAGTGTCTGTGACAAGAACTTCTTTATAATTAAATATTAGAGATTAAAAATTAAATAGACAGCCTCATATTCCCATATTTAAGACCCAGAAAGAAAAAAAAAATCTCTTCCTTTGATAACATGTAGTATTTATTGTCAGGTATTTCATTATCACTAAATATTTCATCTTGGATTAATTTAATGCTCTGAAAAATATCCCATGTTAATTAAGCATTTTAAAATACAGCAAAATCAAAACTGGCTCACATGCTTTCATTTGTCCATCGTTTTCAGGTTTATTCCCTGCTGTCCTGAATCTTGCTTCCAATGCCCTCATCACAACCAATGCGACATGTGGAGAAAGAGGACCTGAAATGTATTGCAAGTTGGTAGAGCATGTCCCTGGGCAGCCTGTGCGGAACCCTCAGTGTCGAATCTGCAATCAAAACAGCAGTAATCCATACCGTATGTATATCACGTGTATTTGTTTTCACTCAGTAAGATATATTTTTGAGAGATTTTAAGAGCACGTCCCATGAAATTAAAAGAGCTTATAATTCTAAGAATTCTTAAAATCTTTTTTTTCAATGTGAGCCTGTATATGGCCCCCTTCTGTCATTCAACAAAAATTAAAGTCTTGGGGTTCTTTAAAAGTAGCAGGCAAAGAGGCTGGAGAGAATTTTCCAGCTGAAGAACTAAATCAGTCATTGGGTTTCCTGGCTCCAGAATGGTATCAGAGGATGTGATTTTTCATGGAGGCTTTAGTTATTCATTGGTTGCTGGTGTGTCAGGTACTATGATTAAGTTCTACTGGGAATAAGGAGTAGTCTTAGCCTCAACAAGAGAGTCAGTGGGCAAGACAATGGCTACTGCTATGTAGTGTAATAAGTACAAAGAAGGAGTATAGGACCCTGAAGAAGAGCGAAAGGCTCAGAAATTCAATCTTGATATAGGTGAAGGCTTACCTGATATGATAACCATGTTGGCAAAGAAGACAAGTATGAGCTGAGTAGATGAAGAGGGAAGAGGGGAAGGAAAAAAAAGCAAGTTTAGGAAAAGAAATCAGAATAAGACAAAAAAATTTACTTGTTCAGGAAGCTACCAGTAGTTAGGAATGAGTAGAACTGAAAGTGTCAAAGGGCAGAGAATAGAGATGAGTCAAACATAAAAGACTGGAAACAGATTACCAAGGGTCTCACAAACAGGATTGTTTGTGCATGGAAAGCCCACTTGGTCACCTTTATGAACCACACTGACACCTCAGATAATTTAGTGTATTTGTTCAACAAGCTTTTAAATGCTACCTATGTCTTATACTGGAACATGATGCTTAATCATATGCAGTCCTTGACTTAGAGAACTTGGAGGGGAAACAGGAAAGAGAAACATAAACTGGGAACTTGTAGGTTCCATGTAGATGCCAAGGTCATTGAAGGATTTCCAGGAGACAGTGACTCATATTCTCAGAAGATACAAAGTAGTAAGATTAAATGTGTGAAAAGCATTGGAAAAGGAAAAGCATACACAAGTCTTGGAGGTATAAAACATCAAGAAGTATTCAGAGAACTGTGTCTTAACAAGTAAAGAATTTGTATGGCAAAGGGAAGAATGGTATGAGATAATTTTAGAGTTGAAAGTTGATTTATAGATATGCATTAGAAAATCATATATATCATCTACCTATCTATATCAATTTATATAGAAAGGAGAGAAACTAATAAACTAAATATTTATTATCAATTGATGTGAGTAATGATGAAAAAACTTGGAAAAAGCTTCATCATTATATTATTTTTAAATTTGTTAAATGTACCTTTTAACTTTCTTTTATAGTGTTTACTTTTAGAGCATACTCAGGTATGCAGAAAAAATCCAATATTTCCTCTGCCCCAAATACATGCCTGGCCTTCTCCATTTTAAATATCTACCTCTATGTAGTAACTTTTTGCTTATAACATTGACACATCATTATCACCAGAGTTCAGAGTTTACATTAGGTAGGGCTCCTTCTTGTTGGTATGTTCTATGGGTTTTGGACAAATGTGTAATGAAATGTATTTATCATTACCATTTTAGTATCCTGCAGAGTAGTTCCATTGCTATATTTTTTAAGCTTACCAAATGACTAAAGGTTTCTCTCACAATTTGCATTTTTTCAATCTCAGAAAGGAAATTGGAAGGCACTGTGCCTTTTTGATAGAGTTAAAGAGAAGAATGCATAATTCTCTCTATTATAGTTAATTTAAGAGATGAAGAAATCATTAAATATTTTGAGATAATATTTATTAATATATTGTTACTTTTATGATTAAAACTGATGGTCTCATATACCACAAAATGTTAGAAAAAATTGAGACACCAAAGAGGGCAACCATCAGAAGTCTTTATTTGCTATGATGGACTTTTGTTGATTTCTAGAGTCTGTGTTGGTATGGTATGGGATCAGAATGGTAAGTCACAGCACACTTCCCACGTTTGTCAGACCCCTGGGGAAACATGAAAGGCTCAAGGAAATGGTTAAGTGGAATCTAGGAGAGGATGAAGATAAACAGGTTTTAAGGAAGGAAATCTGGAGAATGAGGCATCATGTATATTAAGAAGAAATTTTCAGGAAAAAAGATTAATGTATAGTGTCAACTGCTTCCAAAATACTGAGAAAGAAAAGCATAACATGGATAACATAGGTTTTCCGAGGTTTTGACAACACAGGTATCTGCTGGTCATCTTGTTAAAGGAGTCAGTGGACTCACGGTAGCAAAGACAACATTGAAGAGCTAATAAATTAATAAGGAGGACAAAAGGGGAGTGTAGGAATAGTCTTTTAAAGTGTTCTTGATATAAAGAGAATAGAGGGTTTTACAGAGGAGTATATGGTGCTGGAAAGGTTTTCAAAGACAGTAAACAGATGAGCTGGTTTTAGAGGTGACAGGGAAAAGTGAGGGAAGTTGTCAACAAAATGATGTTGAAGGTGATGTCTCTTAAGAGGTGAGGAGAGATGATCATTAAGCACAGGTATAAAAGCCTAAATGAGGAGATATATACCTTTTTAATTGACCAAGTTAGAATAAAAGGAAGGATGGGTAGTGGCAGATAGAAGAGTGGTTGGCAGGAAATTCTTACTAGATGATCTTATTTCCTTTTTAAGATGTGAGTCTGGGTTATCTGCTCAGGAAATAAGTAAAAATTCAGATGAGCTTCCTAGGGGATAGATACCACTGAGCTATAATGAGAAAAAGGTGAGAATTCCATATAGAGTAAAAAGGTAGTAGCAAATATTTGGACTGATTTTCATGCAACATTACAGAGAAAGTGTCAAGAAAATCCAAGGAAAGGCTTGAGAAGAAATGAATTGATTGATTATAAGTTTTCATTTGATTAGGAAAGAGGGTAAATTTTGGTGGAGAAAAACATCTATGAGCTCAGGAACAAATGATTTTGTGCAGAATTTGAGAAAGGCTGGAAATACGGACGTAGTGCAATGGATGATAGGGATGGGGTGGTAGAAATGCATAGCTTTGTGTTTAGGATAGGATGGGCAGAGGGGAAATTATAAAAGTAAAGAACATTAAAATTCACATGTGTGTATATATATGTATATAAATATGTTTCTAAGGTAAGTACCTTTATTTACCATATATATACATACATATATATTTACCTTATATATACATGAATATATATTTATACAAAGAAAGAAATTGATACGTTCAGGATGAAAAATGCAAAGATTGGACTGGAAAATAACTGAATGGAGACTCTTGGTTGGAAACTAGATGAAATCTACTTGCCAAAATGAGTTTAAGACCTTCTGTGTCACTTTTTCCTTCAAAGTTCTGTATTCAGAGTCTCTTGGGTCTCAGTGAAATATACCTATATTTAGGCATTTTCACCCCATGTTTTCAAATTAAAGCCAAAACTGAATCAATGTTTTAGTATAGCATAATTCACACCAGGTTTGCTTTGTACCTTCCCATTTTTACTTATGTGTGTTATATTTTTTATAACTAGTCACAGGCTGTACTTACTTCATATTGTTTGTTTATAAATGACCAGCTATACTACATTTCAAAATCATGTTTTAGTACTGGAAATTTAGAAAGAATAGAACCCCACAAGAATAAAAATCTAGTAATAAACCACAGGAACATATGTTAGTAAAGCTGGAGCTATAAAGGATAACATTCCACAAATTCAGTGAACTTCTAGAATAAATCTGGAAAGTTTGCACTTAATACCATATAAAAAATGAAACTTGAACTTCCTTACTATTACTAGACTGTGCTTCCCAATTAAAAATTAGCAGTCTGAGTGGTCTGCCTCCTTGGATCCCCAGCCAGTTTTCAGAAGCAGTTTAGCCCTTTGGTTGACTTGTATAGTTTTTCCCTGTTGAGGATATTACATGTTTCTATCCCCTTTTAAATAAGGGAACTCTGCCAGCAATTAATCAGTATTTGCAAATTAATTATGATTAAATTTTTATAATGGGGATTATGGTTAATTGTTGATTCATCTCCCTGTCCTCCTTTTCATGACTAATTCTCATATCAATTTGACCTGAGGTGGCAGATATCAAAATTTCCAATTAGACAGGCTCTCTCGCAATTACCTACGAGTCACAAATTCTATTTGGTAATGTGGTTGTGTGAATGTTTTTCTATCACATATTAAACCCACAGTCTATAAAGATGATTCAGGAAGATGTTTGGGGAATGTTTGCTGTGATATTTGTTTTTCTTCACAAGCAATGCCAGCAATATTTCATTTGGTGTTCTGATTTCTGTGTGCCAATTTCAGCACCCACTCACACCACCAGGAGCATTTGATATTTAGTTATGCTTCTGATATTTGCTTATTGTTATAAAGATGACATCTTCCTTAGCTAAACATAATTTCACTAGCAATAATTATTAAATACATTCAGCAATTTTACTTTTCATTAATGAGACAGGATGCCTTATCTCAGTGGACTGTTGATGACATAAGACTTGGTACAAAATAAAGTCCATCCAGCTGCTTGGTGGAATTAAATTTTTATCAATAAAAATGGAATGTTGTTATCCTGTCCTATCATCTCATACAATATTTGGAATATGAATATCTATGTTTGAAAGGTGAATATCATACCATAAGAAAGACAAAGTCATAGCCTTTGTGTGTTTAACTGATGGTTATAGCAGACTACCTAAATAAAATTGACATATAATAATTTTCACAAATTTGAAAATGGCAAATTTAATAAATAGTTTTTAATGAATTTTTTAAAAGATATTTTATTTTACTGATTTATACTGCATGGAAGACTTATTAGTTTTGCTTGATTTCTATTATTTTCAATTTTTTTATTAATTGCGATTTGTCTCTAAAATTCAGTAAGGTATACACTTTGAACAGATTCACAATGTATTTTATCTATATGCACAATAAGCTTAGATTATTGATAGTTATAGAGTTCATTAGCAACCCTATAAGTAAAGGATTTGGATACAAAATGTTTTCACAGGTCAGAGACATGTAAAATAAATGAGCATAACATTCCATGTGTTTCACGAAAACTAAAAGGATATATTTTAAAGAATTTTTCTTTTCTGGAGGTGGGAGTGGGGTACTGGGGATTGAACTCAGGGGCACTAAGCTTTTATTTGGAGACAGGGTCTCAGCAAGTTGCTTAGCACGTAAGTTTTTTGCTGAGACTGGCTTTGAACTTGCAGTCCTCCTGCCTCAGCCTCTTGAGCCCTGGGATTACAGGTTGTCCTTTATTTTGCTTTTATGACTTTTAAAAACTATTGTTAGCTCTACTTTGTGTACAACCATAGATATGAAAAATCACTTGTGCTCTGTATGTGTAATATTAATTGTAATGCATTCCACTGTCATATATAACAAATTAAAATTTTAAAAATGCCCCCCAAAACCCTATTGTTAGCTTCTAAATGTCCTTTATTTTGTGAAATAAAAGTGATGGCATATTAAACGATAATTAGTAGATCAGGATTTATTAATACTTGAAAAAATAAATTTGAACTCCTATATCAACTCCACATATCTCTCATACATTTTTTTTTAAAAAATTACTTCTTGTCTGAAAGTTAAGAATCTGGAAACCACTACTTTGAGTGAAGTTTTTGTTATCCCTATTTTAGGGATGACACAGATTTTAAGCAATTTGTCCATGGTCAGTTAAGTACTAAATGGCAGCACCAGGAAGAATAGCTAGTTTTTCGTATGACAGCTCTTCATGTGCCAAATTTTGTGCTCTTTCATCATTAGACTATATCATTATCATTAGAATATATGGCTGGATAACTTTATTATGTAGACAAATTGAGAATCCATGATTGCTCCTTTCAGTGGTATAATTTGTTCATTATTTGAGGTAGTCTTTCAATTAAAAAAAAGATTAGGTTTTAATCTGAAGGATTATTCATAGATCACTAATTTTAAACATTTTCCCAAATAATTAGTTTTATATAAGTTCTCAAGAGTGACACCCCAAGTGTACTTAAACCATAATGAATGGAAGAAAACCAAGGAAGCTCTTTCCCATTTTGTTTACATTTCTGAGGAAAAATGTGCTGACTTCCAAGTGAGGTGTGAGGAATGTAGACACTTTTACTAGAGCCTTAAAATTAGAAACAGGAACATCAACAACCTCCATTCCCACCATTCTCACCCATGTGTGGATGGGGCCCATTTAGATGAGGGAAAAAAACAAAAAACAAATAAACATAGCTTGTATTATTTGGAAAAGGAGATGCAAAGATTTCAGACTATGATCCAAAGGGTAATGAGGATTGTGGAGGCCAGGGGTAGTTCTACTGTGAAATCTGTGGAGCTAATTTGGAAGAGATGAGCATCTTTGAGGTCCAAAGCTTGTAAGAACAAAGAGAGCCATATCAAAGGACAGTATGATTGGCCATGGCTGTCCATATCTCACCTGCTATTTCCAGTCTTCCTTTAGATTCTCACAATTGGGTGTCTTCTCAACTGTGTGGAATAAGGTGAGGAAAAACCTGTGTTTTATTGGTTGGATGAAGTTTCATATGCATTATCTTGTTAGGGTCGGGCAAACGTGGGAGGAAAGGACCACCAAGAGACTATCTCATGCAAAAGCAAAGGGTTTATTGGACCAGCATGCTGGGGCTCAGAGTTCTCCTGAGAGAAGCTGGAGCCCTGAGCACAGCTTAAGCAGAGTTTTTATGCAGTGTTTAAACAGGGAAGTTCATATGGCAGTTAGGGTGCGAGGGTGGGATTGTTACAAAATAACCATTACAGAATAATCATGCGTTTTGTCAGGGGGTGTTGGGTCAGGGTACATTTTGACATAAGTAACTGTTTTTAACATAAGTTTCGGGTTCCAGGAAAACAGAACTTAAACTTACAGAAAAGCAAAACTTAACAGGAGAGCAAAACTTAAATTTAACCTTTACAATCTCTTTGTTTGCCATTATTATCTAGATTCTTCCACTACAGTAGTGATTTATGGGGCTAGAAAAAAGCTGCACAGGAAGCATAGGTATCTTTCATTATATTTTTTAACAGTGGTAGAAAATGACAATCTAAAGACTTGTTGTAAAACATCTCATAGGATAAATGTGATAGCAGTTTATATTAAAACCAGATAAATACTGGATCGTCCAAGTTCTGGTAATAAAGAATTTGTCAGAAGAGCAAATGTTCAAGTATGTTTCAACTACAGTTCAGCATTTTATGTTTCTGTTAATCAAGTTGATGGTATACTAGAGTTGCCTCAAACAGTACAGATTTTGCTTTTTTGAATGACTGATGCATCAATTTGATTTCAATATTATTTTCTGATCCTTAATTTCTGTAGTCATCTTCAAAGTTGCCCATTGTAGTAGTTGATGGCTGGAGTGTTGAATAGCTGCTTCTTGATTATCCTGAGATCTTGGTCATTTCCTACTACATTGTACAGATATATGGAAAAGGTGTCACTGGATAAATTCTGTAGAAGATATGGATTACTATTTTTTTAATGTTTGATCTTTACAGGATTGTTTTACCTTAATTTTACGTTTTTCTTCAAAGAAACAGTTACAGATTCATTATATGCTTCTCTTTTCTCTTCCTTTCACATGTTGCTGCTGACTCAATAGAGAGACACCCTATTACGAATGCTATTGATGGAAAGAACACTTGGTGGCAGAGTCCCAGTATTAAGAATGGAATCGAATACCATTATGTGACAATTACACTGGATTTACAGCAGGTACAGTGCCACTTTCTTATCATTTTCCACTTTTGTTGTACCTTGCATTTGCTATTTATTTAGTTGGTACTTTTTAGGGTGAAAGGATACACTTTCTGATCACCTGCTGTTATTTTCTTGATACAATGAACAAAGGGTCCTATTCATTTGGCATATAGTCATTTACAAATATGTGGCATTTATTTCTAAAGCACAACTAAAATGGATCCATGCAAATGGTTTATTAATGATTTAGGACCTGAATCTATATTAACTAGTTAGAGTTGATGAAAACATGGATCAATAAAATTTTACATGAAGGGAGTATGATAGTGCCATTTTTAACTTTTAAAATAATACAGTGCTTCCACTCTGCTGATGTTGTATGTGCTCTTAAAGGCTCTCGGATAACAAGGCTCTTGAGTAAATTGCCTCTCATTACTGAGAGTTGTGCAAGCTGTGACAGTTAGTCTCAAATTAAACTTGGGCCTCTAAACGAGGTAACAAGCCTTGTAGTTATATAAAATTGATGTTGGAAGTCATTAGAGTGTGTGTTGCATAGGCCTGAGTGCCTTCTATGCTTAATTTCCTTCTTTCTGTTCACAACATTCAGTTCAGGATGAAGTTATGAATCAAGAATCACCGTCACCAAAATTATTTAGGCTTGCAAATGGATTTGGGATGGAATTTGAGAAAAATGTTCCCATCGTTTTTTGTTATTCCAAATACAATGGTTAATTTAATTGGTCCTAGACTGAGACTAGAAATGGTGAACTTACGTAACCTCTTCACTTTGGCCTGTTTCTCTTTCACTCTCTGGCATTAGCATAGGAAAAACACTTATTTGTTCCTTCTTAGTCCAGTGTGGAGATGATGCAGCTAGAGATCTGAGGACTGGTGCAAATGGCCAAAACACTTAATGGGAGATCAATACACTGTAGAGGTCATGGTTTTCAGAGTTTGCCAAAGTATAGAGAAATACCATCCAGTGGGCTAGGTTGACATCAGGCAGAAAAGTTCAACCTCCATTCTCCAGAATCTAGGCCCATTTTGGTGGGATCTGTATGTAATCAAGAGCCACAGATAGCTGTTGGAGGAGTGAGCAAGCTGGTAGGTCATATAGCGGAGCCCCTTTCATCATATCTGACCCTTTGGACCTGAGTAACAGAGTGGCAGCAGGGCTCAGTGCTGCAGCTAAATTGCCAACTGACATAGATTTATTTCTACCCATATTAGTGTACAGCAGCTGAATGTCAGGTCTGAGTTAGTGATATTTCCGAAGAACTCTCTGTGCATTGTCTGGGAGTGGTCAGGTCATCTACCACACTGATCAATCTTGCTTTAGGTCAATTAACCTTGTGCATGAATTCCCTGTGGATCCTACCCTCAAATTGGACTTTATCTTCCTCTGGATAAAGACAGCTTAGTCCTTTATCGATCACAGCAGTACTTCCCTTTCATATGATCATTGAAAGTCTGCCTTCCCAATCAAGAGTATGTCTGCTGTCCATTGACTTGGGTCGTCTCCTGGGATAGGAAATCAATAAATAGTGATGGTTTATTGTTCTGGTTTACTCTCCACTTATTCTTTTAGATTGCACATAGAGCATGAGAGTCAATTATTAATATAATTTGCACAAATCATTTGAACTACCCTTTGAGCTCTACCACAACATTATTTATCTGTTATCAAATATAGCAGCATTTTTCTTTCTAATTTACAGCTGGGTGGTGGAATCACCAGTTTTTACTAAATCATTTTTGTTCAACATGCTTGTCATTAATTTCATAAGTCAAAGAATTCATCCCAAAGCTCATTTTTTTTCAATGAAGGCAGTTATATTTCCCCAAATTTGTTTTGCATCACCAGTTATTCATTACCATACACAATCTGAAGAATCATGTAGTTTTGAGCCAGGCCTGAAATCTTAGTTCCTCAGTAGGCTGAGGTAGAAGTATCACATGCTTGAGGACATACTGGGACAGACATACTGTCACAAAAATAAAATAAAATAGGGCTGGAGATATAGTCCAATGATACAGCAGCTCTGTGTTCAATCCCAAGTACTACAAAAAAAAAAAAAGGAATTATGCAGATTTGTTTTTCTGTTTTCTTTCCACGTGTTATGATAGCTTAAAGATGAATGAATACTCCAAAGCATCTTTTAGAGTTCAGTCATCCCAACAATCCTAACTAGTGGGGAAATTCTGTATATAATTAAGGGCTACTGACTCCAATACCTGTAACTGCACAATATACATAGGCTTTGTATTCAAATGATCTGATATTTTAGGGTGTTGGCCACCCTTTCCCTTTTATTTACTTTAGCCTTCTCTAACTTACTGAAAGACAACCTACTATGTTTTTAAGAGGAGAATATAGTTAATCTATAAAAGAAAATAAAATTTATTTAGTCTATTATTTAATGATGTACATCAAGGAGGTTTTGTAAACAGGCTTTATGTAATTCCATAGACAAGAAGGAACCCCACACTTCTCATTCGACCTCACTCTTTGTAATAACAAACTGTGGCAACATATTTATAGTACTTAACACAGGAAGAAAAACCATAGAAAAGCATATTTTAATGCATTGGCAACAGAGAAAATAAGGACATCCTTTATTATTCACTTCTCATAATAATCCCATAAGAAAACTAGTATTATTATTCCTATTTAATAGCTGAAGAATATTAGTAGGGTCAGAAAAGTTAAGAAACTTGGCCTTCTTTACAAAGCTTAGCATAGAGAGTCTGGATTTTGACTGGAATAGTCTGAATCTGGAACCCAAACTATGCCACCATTTTCTAACAGGGGTCTGAGAACCTTAAGCTAGGAAGCACTTTTGGTATATATTATTTGGTATATATATTGAGAATTTTTGATATATATTTTCATGCAGTCTATGATCAAAGAATGCTGTACTCTGTTCTCTTGTCTTCTATGTAAGCAAAAAAGAATGGAACAGATCTCTTATTTCTGGTAGAGTCCAATGTGCCTCTAAAGTGGCATAGAAGCTGTCTTTTCCACTTAGAGTATAAAGGAATAATAGGTTACTCAGCATAATATAAGCTATTATCCAACTGGGAGTCAAGTGCAGTGGTATTGTTGGGAATAGGTAAACATCAGTAAATGTGTGTTTGTCATTAATTCAACAAGAAGTTTGACCATCTATTGTTTTTTTTTTTGTTTTGAGATGTATGAATTTTGATAAGTGCCAATAGTTTGTTGATATGTTCTTGACTCCTCTGTGAAACACTTTGAATAAATTACTATCTTAAATATAAGTAGCAATCATTAGATTTTCTTGATTAAATCATTAAAGACTATACTGAGAGATTTCTTCACATTTTAGTATTCAAGATAAGCACCAGAAAAATATTAAAAAAATTATTGACAAGAAAGTAACTGCCTATTTTATAAGAAGACTGTTTTTACATTTATTACTAAAGAATTATTGGCTTTTTCCAATTGTTTACTCATAGCATATCTTAAGCTAATGATTTAATCATGCTGTGCCTCAATATCTAGATTAGCAGAATACACATTATAGTGTGATTGTAAAACGTTTAAAATAATGATAATAACATATACCAACTAAATTCCATCTGGCAATTATGTCAATTATTAGAACTTTGGATCAGCATAAACTTGAATAGAAGATGAAATGTTCCAGTGATATGTATGCAAATACCCAATATGACAAACAAATGCATACAGAAATTTAAAAGACAATAAAAGAGACTTGAATGGTAATATAATTTCCAAACATTTATATTCTGACAAGATGTCATGAGAATGTGTCATGATATCTGATATCATTTTATGACTTTAAAAATTTTTTTCAGTCCTGCCCTTTGGTATCTTTAGAGAAAAGGCAGATTGGTAGTTGGTATAAAACACAAAAGACCAGCTGATAATAGACTATGCTAGCATATATTGAAGTCATACTCATGCCTAATAATAGAGGAGTGAGGGGAATTAATTTTGCAGTGTGTAGGAGTCCCGGTTAGCTTAATAAACACTTCTTCTATTTCATGTCTATTTCTTAGACTTAAAAGGGCATTTACAAATAAGATTGTCTTGCAGCTACAGAGATCATACTACACACATAGTTTTAGCCTAAATGTCTTACGAATTGACTTCATACAGACATATTTGGAAAGATGGGTTAACAATTTTAAATATGAGTTATAATTTAGAAGGAATTCAAAGTAGTATAACTATATTTTTAGAATCTATTTAAGTAACATAGAAGAATCTTTTCTCAAAGCCCAGAACTATTAATGTAATGGTTGAGTCCTTTTATGACAATGAAGGACAGAATACATCATCTATTCAAGTTTTTTTTTAATTTAAACATTTGAAACATGATTGAATTTTCAGTCTTGAAAGAAGGTCATTGTTCTTTCATATCAAATTATTTTTTATACTCTTATTACTGATTCCTATACAAGGATCTGTTTTTCAAGGATAAATTTTGGAAAACTTACAAATACACAAAAATTATACAGAATGTTTCCAAGGCATGATTGGGACAAATAAATTAAAAATGAGACAAATAAAATGATACAGACACACTACTAAAATTCTATACCATACTACAACTTAGAGGATTCAGCAAAAGCAATTCCAAGAGGAAAGCTAATAGCAATAAACACTACATCAAAAAGAAGGAAAGATCTCAAAGAAAAGACCTAATGTTATTTCTCAAAGAAATAGAAGCAAAACATACTGAGCCTTGAGTTACTAGAGAGAAGGAAATAAGAAATATCAGAGCAGAAATATTGATATAAAGACACAGAAACAATAAAAAAGTCAAACAAAACCGAGGGTATATTTTGAATTTAAACAAAATCAGCAATCTCCTCTACAATCGATAAAATAAAATAAAAGATATAAAATAATAGATGTTTTAGTAAGATTTTGCATTGTTATGACAATATACCTAACAAGAACAATGTAGAAGAAGAAAAGTTTATTGTGGCACATGGTTTCAGAAGTCTCAGTCCATAGATAG